TAGAATAGATTATGCAACAAATGCCATAAATTGTGAAAGTAAATTGTAGCTTTTTGTTGAAATTCTCAGACATGACTAGTATCATTTTCTCATTTACTTTTCAATGCTCTTTTTTTAATTATCAAATGCTTATTATTTGTTGAGCAATTAGGCTTCTTGTGTTGCCCTGAATACATACAACCCCATCAGAAACAACTTTTTAACGCTAATAACAGCTTTCATGTAATATACCAGACCCTGCTATTTTGAAAAATGACATGACCAATAATGGGGTCCTTTAATCTGAACTTTTTGAATAGTTACTAAGAGAGATGAATAAATATATTTATACAAATTACACTATACTACTCTGAACATATAATTATTAAAGTCTTTTTAGATATAAAAGTTTTTTAATCTTACAATTCTGAGCCTATCTTGTATCCTTTTCAGTGTGAATTCATTGATAATATACAAGATTTGGTCTGTGGTTTTATGCCTTATTTTGTGCTATCAAGATTTATTCTTTGTCTCAAAAGTCCTTATAATTTTGAACTCAAAATTACAAAATATATGGGAATTAAATAACCTATTGATTATGCATCGAGCAGGTCATACTCAGGAATTTCTGTTGCACTTAAGGGGACTTAAGAAGACCTTTCGATTGTCTATTTTACAAGCAGGAATTTATATTTTGTGCTTAAAATAAGGCACACGTGCTTATGTGTGCATTATTTTATGCTTACACAGAGACCTTTTGTTTAAATGTCCACAAGAAACTAAATAAGAATGTAAGATAATGCCAGAAACTTTCCAGTTAATGATCACTGGTTGAATATATGTACTTACTTACATTTCATCCTGAAACTCCACCAAGTGGTATTAAAGAATAAAAAAATGATAACACACAGTAAAAAGAGAATGGACAAGAAGTGTCAACAGTTTTTGGAAGATAGAAAGTAGAGGATTAGCACATGACTTAGCAAAATGGAAAAACCTAAAACTTATGATCATGCAGTGGGTTCCAATGTACAGATTTGACCCATAAAACCCTTGGAAAAGTCAGGATTTAGAAGTGGAAGGTGCATGTGAGGTACAGGATTAAAAATGCGAATAATTGAATAATCTGTTCAAGGGGCAGTTAGACTGCCCTGAGGCACTTCCTTTAGTCTATGCAACGAGGCTTCTCCTCTGGACTGGTAAGACTCTTGAAGCACAGGCAGGCATGAGTTAAGTTTCTGAATACATGAGCATTAAATTAAATACTGTATGCTGAAAAAAAAAGCCTGCATATTATGCAGCAAGAGCATCAGCTCCTCCCCAGTTCAGCCCAAGGAGGCTGTGGTCTGATGTATACCCCATAAGTAAAGTGGAAGACCCAGAACAAAGTCCTACCAATCCCTACAGACCTAGCATTTGGAAGGCCCTGCTCAGTCATCATATGTGAAGGATACCAGCGGATCAGCCCACTAATGCATGACAAACTGCCAATCAAGTTTTAGTTTCTCTTTGGTATGAAAGGACAACTTTTGTAAAAGACTTCTAAGGAACAGCTCCAACAAGAAAGTCAGAGGCAAAAATAAACATAATAGAAAATATTCAGGCGTTCCCACTGGCTATTCTCTCTGCTTGGAATGCTTTTCCCCATATCTGCTCTCTTTACTCCTACGCTTCATTCAGAACTCGTGCAAATACAAAATAATGAGACATCTTTTCTTACTATTATATTTAATATTGTGTTACACTCCCCATCACCCAATTCTTGGTTATTCTATTTCTTTACTTGAGCTTATATTTCTGCATATATTAATCACTACACAGACATTTTGATACGTTCATGTATTTGTTGTCCATCTACCCCACCCCAAATGAACACTCATAAAGGTAGGAACATTGCCTATCGCACATAGTAGATCCTTGATAATTACTGTTAATATTATCTACTTATCTGTTTACTTATTTAGTAAAAATAAGTAACTTGGATAAAGCAAAAACAAAGTAGGAAACACAATTTTAAAAGAATAAGTATTCAGGGAATAAGAAAATTTATAGCCAAGAAACAATTCAAATATATTAACTATACAAAAGCAACAATTAGAGAAGAATTAGCTGTTAAAAGTTCCAAATATTAAAAATTAAAGATATAGTTCAATATAAGTTTGGGAAGACTTGGTAAAGAAAATCTACAAGAGAGTAAAGAGAAATATAAGATATGAACAATACGAAAGAAAAAATAAGAATGTAAGAGATCGATCCTGAAAGACAAATGTCTGACTAATAGGAGCTTCCTGCAGTAACACAAAAGAGTAGAGGGGAGGGAACAATTAAGGATATAATGTAGGTTGTTTTCTAGAATGGAAGGAAAGCGCTCTTGGATGGAAAGTCCCTCCAGATGCTCTACAAACTAAGTGAAAAAGAAACTCATCAAGATACTGTTTTACTGAATTTCAGAACTTGAAGCTAAAAAGATTTTCTACATCAATAAACCTCAAAAATATAACATGGAACCAAAGTAAGTTACAGAGTATATATATATTTTAAAACCTAAAAAACCAGCATTTTGTATTATTAATAACTATGTAAATATTCAGTAAAACTACAAAAAGCTTTCATGAGAATAATGACACCAAAATCATGATAGTAACTATCTGTGGAGAGAGAGGGGGGAAATCATATTTAGGAAGACTACAGAGGAAGCATCATTTATATGTATAAAATTTTATTTAAAAAATGACTTTAAGCAAATATAACATAAGATTCAATGAAACTGAGTGGTGGGTATAATGGTATTATTATAATATCCTCTATACTTTTTGATGTTTTTGAAATATTTCACTGTTTAAAACAAAAAGATGCAAGAAACCAAAAGAAAGAAAACAGGTTACATAAAAAATTACAGGGAACAAAATGATATCAGATTTCTTAACTGTAATAATGGAAATTAGAAGATAATGGAGAAACAGCCACCCAGTTCTGAGAGAAGATTTTCAACCAAGAAGCACATATCCATCCAAAATATCAGTCAATTAATATAAAAGTAGGGTAAAAACACTTCAGACTTAAAATCATTCACCTATTCTTAAGAAAGTTGTGAATTATGTACTCTGTGAAATAAGAGAGCAAACCAGGTAAGAGAAAGACATGAGAGCTGTTAAGAAAAACATTGCACTGGAAACTTGTTAAAAGTGACAAGATAAATTTTATTTTAGCTGCTGTAGTAGAGAAGACAGGCTTCAGTATACAGCTGAACTCCATGCCCACAAATTTGATTACCTAGGTGAAATAGACACATTTCTTTAAAGTCACAATCTGCCAAAACTCACACAAGAAGAAATTTGAATAGGCCTATATCTATTAAATAAATTAATCAATTGAGATAGATATATAGATATATATAGAGATAGATATATACATATATCTCAATTAATAACTTTTCAAAACAAAAAGCACCAAGCCCAGATGGGTTCATCGGTGAATTCCACCAAGCATTTAAGAAAGAAATTATTCCAATTTTCTGCAATCTCTTCCAGAAGACAGAAGCAGATGGAAAACTTCCTGATTCTATGAGGTAGCATTAACCTAATGCCAAAACCAAAGAAAATACAGGAAAAGAACACTACCTTTTACAAATATAGATGCAAGTATCCTAACAAAATGTTTTCAAACAAAATGAATTCAACAATGTACAAAAATAATTATACACCACAACCAAGTGGGATTTATACTAGACTGGTTCACTATTCAAAAATCAACTAATGCAATGAAAAAGACATTTTTAGCCACTTAGCAGGTAGCTCCAGCCACAGGCTTTTATTATGAGATTTATTCTGACTGAGTCAGAAACCAGTTTGCTGTATCTCCCAGGTTCCAAGGGCTACTTTGAAGCCTTTCTCAATAGGCTTGAAGAGAAGAGACCTTACCCCCTCCCTTACCACCACTTTATGGAGATGATGAGACTCATAACATAGCACTCTCCAAAGGAATACTCTTTCCAGTCTCCAAATTCCCTGATCACTTATGCTCAGCCCTTTCATATGTTCAGTTTAAGTGAATATGTCTTAATATTTCCTATGCAGGATCTGCCTGGTCAATCTGGTACCTCATTTTGGTGTGAAAGTAGTTGGCATCTATTATCTTGAGGTTCTATCACTGAGACTGAAATAATTCCTTTTCCACCATTGATCCTCTCTGTTAGAATCTTCCCTCATGACTTGCTGAATACTAGGATGTGTCTGATGCATTCTCTTCCTGGAAAACAACATTCGTCCCTGTGCTATTGACAGCTCCACATCTGTGTATGTGATTTCAAGGTCACTAGTGCAGAAACTACCATCATTCCATTTGTAGCTGCACATCACCTAACATGCTGAACCTCATCTAAAGAGTTGTTGACTTATTTTCACCCTGCAATAATTTGCTGATGGTATTTTCTAAGAAGTATTGTGACCAATTTTATATTAGGAGTTGGCAAGATTGAAAAGATCCTGATTTTCTAAAATAATAATAAGTGGTGGGGGACAAGAAATAATGTGTTTTATTAAGTAAAGTTCTCACATATTTTAACCACTAACCACATTATTGTGTTAAATTTTGCCAAACTGATGTACAGTTTTAACTTTTAAAATGTGCAAAAGGTAAATATTCTGAGGGAGAGGAAAATAGCAGGCTGAAGATGAACTGCACTTGATAAAAATAGCTTAAAACACTCCCTTTGTAATATTTACAAGTCCTAAAAGCTAAGACTTTTCAGTGTAACAATGTAAGCCTGACAATTCTACTAGTAAGTATTTTCATTTGTATCACTGCAGTCAGGCAAACCTTCATAAATGAAATCGATAGACATAATTTTCAGGTGGAACTGATAGTTTGACTTTAGATGCTACCTTTCTGCCTATAAAATACAGCAAGGGGAGGGGAAGAAACCCACATTTCAAAATGGGAAACTCAAAAGCAATTCAGTCCGAATAAGCTAACTAACATTTACAAAGTAATTCTCATCCTTATAAATTGCCTTCTTGCAGGAAACAGACCTTATCCTGACTTTTAATATTTCAATGCACCGATCTTGGTGGATGGAGAATGGACCAGGATGTACGGTGACATCAGTGACACCTGCCCCAGACTGGGCCCCAGAAGACCATCGCTACATCACGGTCTCGGGGTGTTTTCTGGAGTACCAGTACATAGAAGTGGCTCATAGTTCCCTCCAGATTGTCCTCGCAGTAAGTGTCGACAGCCAACCACTCCTTCTAGTGCTTCCGGAACTGTTTTATTTCTGTGCAAGCTCAGTGCACACAGTTGGAACCTGTGGGTAAAATGTGGCTCTGTGCTTTTTCCTAATCAGTGCCACTTTTAACAGGGATGTGTCAGGTTAAACCAGGCTGTGCTGTGGGCCGAGTGCTTCTTTCTGGCTGTGCTGCTAATTCTGGGAACTCCCCTCTCCCTTTGCCCTAGCTTCTTCTTAGATTTCCCCTAGGTACCATCCATCTCTTTTTATCACCCCCCCACCTTTTTCAAAACAATTCAGCTTTTCTATAAATTCCACTTCTAGACTATCATGCCCCTATTTTTCATAGTATTATGTCAATGAAGAACCCTCCCTCTACAAGAAGGCATTTGGAGTTATAAATAACTCCTATGTTTTTGAAGAACTTTCACTAAAGCTAAATGCACACTTCTGTGGGATTCATAAAGTTATTTGTGGGATTCATAAAGTTATTCATTCAACTTTATTATACATGTCTCCATTTATTTATTACAGATTGCGTATGTGCAGATCTACGTATATTTTCTTAGACTCCACGTAGATCTGCAACTGAGGTGCACCGTCTTAACAATTATAAACAACTAACAATACAAGTAGAATCTGCTTGTGACCTCTTTCTTTACTTTCAGAATGATATTAACTCACAATTCTTAAATAACAAGACATAAAATGTTCTGGGTAAAATGGCACCAATTGGTTCACGTAAAATTCTTCTGGAATTTAAAAAGAAACTATGTGAGTGTGTGTATTAGGTTATATAACTAATATACAGTTATTAGATATTTTAAAATGAGGAATAGGGCTTCCCTGGTGGCGCAGTGGTTGAGAGTCCGCCTCCGATGCAGGGGACACGGGTTCGTGCCCCGGTCCGGGAAGATCCCACATGCCACGGAGCGGCTGGGCCCGTGAGCCATGGCCGCTGAGCCTGCGCGTCCGGAGCCTGTGCTCCGCAACGGGAGAGGCCACAACAGTGACAGGCCCGCGTACCGCAAAAAAAAAAAAAAAAAAATGAGGAATACATGTATATAAACATATACATACACACACATATATAATCACAATGCACTTCGTATGCTGTGCTAGTAAACACTTCCCAAGTCTCTGTGACTAAAAACCACAAAGGTTTATTCTCATGGGTCAGCAGGAAGTTTTACCAATCACTGTCACTAAGGAAACAAGGCTAGGGACACAGCCACCACCTCAATCATCACGGGTTGCCGTGCCAGAGAGCAAGGATAGATCTGGAGTGTCTACAATGGCACTAAAATGCTCCTCCTTGGGAGGAGAAGCTCATCATTGCTCATAGTTCATTGTCCAGAACTAGACACACAGTCCTACACAATCACAAATTGGTCAGGAAGGAGCGAGACCTGTAAATATTTGAAGAGTAGCATAAATTATTTCCACAATATTTGAATTATGTTCTTGGCTAAAGCACTGAGTGACCTCCCTTGAATATGTCCAAGCTGAAGCACTTCTTAATTAAAAAAATAAAAAAACCCTCTCTAATAGTTTGAAACTCTAAAACTGTTCATTTTGATTATTTTTAAGTAAAGATAGATTCGATGGGATGGAAGTAGTCATTTCACTGTTTAAAATTCATTTAGGTGAAGTATTCATTCTCACATGGGAAAAGTAAAATATTTCTGGCATTTGGCGACAGATTAAATGCCTTCATATATGTGTTAGAGAGGCGTTTTAGAGGTAATATTCCTTCCTTGGAACTCCCTCTTTCTACTGTACCCAGAATTTTTGGAAAACTTCCACTTATGCATCAGGGATGATGTAAACATATAGTCTGTGTGCATGGATAGTTAAATGTGACTATTTTAAGAGGGTTATTTGAATTAAAGTGTGTATGTATAAACTATATTCACAGATTTATTAAACCCCACATAAAATTTTGGCTTGCAGATAATTTGCTAAAGAAATACATTTGGACACGGAAGCATGTGTTGAGTCTGTCATACTGCCCAAAGAAAAAATATTTTTACATAAGTAAAAACCATCCATAAAGGCAAAGTGGCTAGAGTGCAAAGAAGATGGATGAAGTGTCCCTAAGAGCAGATGTGACCAATATATCAAGCTACTGGCTCTCACTTCTCCTGTCTGCATTGCCCCCGGTTGAGTGGGGCAATCGTTTGGGCGGGCCATCACAGGACGTGGCATCCGTACCTTTCCCCTTTCCACCTGTTCTTCTCTCTGGGGTAGTTCTTTTGCTATGCTGACTGGATCACCTGAGAGAGTAAGTCAGCAACAGATACCCAAGCCAGTTTTTTGGAAAAGTTTCAACACACTTTCCGTCTTTGGACTTGTTATCGTCTAGTTGGCCTTGGGGTGAAAGCATTTGCTATGCAGAAAACTTAGCACATCTTAACTAGAATTTTAGAATGCAAACCAAAATGGGGCTTATCTTGAACAATGTGCTCCGCCTAGTTATTGGAAGCCTTCCAACTAAACGTTCCTGTAGTCATCCTCATCACTTCTGCTGGCATGTTTAAGGGGTGAAATTGTGGCTCGATTCTCTGCTTCTCCCCTTTTCGTGTTACCCAAATCAACTTCCTGACAATCCAATGTTTAGTTCCGTCCAGTCCGGTGAACACTTCCTGAGTGCACGTCCCCTGCTGGCATCTAGAGAAACAAATGAGAGCGTCTCTGACCTTGAGGCTGTCATAATCAGAAATGGGCGTGGCTCCTCAGGGTACAAACCTGGGGCAGACAGGCACACTTCGGGAATGTGGTACACAGAGAATACGTTTGTGCCGTTTATGGCATCATCCTGGCGTCTTAGTTCCATCCTGCTTTTTGTGAAGTCAGCTAACTAAACTCCCACACCTCTCTTTGTTTTCACCAGCCTTTGAAGCTGCCCTCTCTTCCAGGATATCTGGCTTAGATCTGCTTTCATAAACGGCTGCTGTCCCAGCTATTGCTGTTGATTAACTCCAAATCTCTCTAGCTCTTTTTCTCCACCTTCACTCAGCCTCTCTTTCACAGATTCCTGACCCCCAGCACACCTGTCACCCCATTGTTCGGTTTTCTGCCAATCAACTCCTAGCTGATTTTGAAATTTGCATCACGAGGCCCCCATGTGCGTCACACATTTATAAGATATCTCCCACCTCCAGCCAAAGGAAGATGAGTATTATACCCATATGATTGGGAAGAGGGGTTATTAATCACACAGCCTCCAGCCGAGAAGAAAGGACTGCCAGAGCACCATAATGATGAGCCAGGTGTGAGATTTCGAGCTTTCTCCTCCAGCAGCATTTTCTTCTGGTTAGGATCAGATATCACATTCAAAGGGAATACAGGTGTGGATAGTTTTAATTAAACCAAAAATAAAAAAAAAATCTACACTTACAAAATAGATAAAATAAATATGTATGGAAAGAGCCCAGGAAGAGATTAACTAAAGAGATGGTGCTGTTTACATTACAAAACAATTAATCTTATTTCTTCAAACAATGTGTGATTGCAACTGTACAGTTTACAAAATGCGTTTACGGGAATTTAATCTTTCCACTTGTGTAACAGTCCTTTGAGGGCAGCAGAACAGATTAAAAGCCTTTCCCAAGATTTCTTAGCTAGTAAGTGGGGAGGGTGGACATGCTGACCTAAGTTTTTCTCTGGTACCAAGGAAAGGAAATAGGCTTAAATCTGCATGCCGGCATCAGCTGATGGATAACAGATTCATGAAACCCCAAAATTCAGACCTCTCTTCAGTAGCAAAGAATGCCGTGATTAATTAGCTATGTCTCCCACGGGTAAGGGGAAGGGAGGTGTATATACCTCATGTTTGTTATGCACACACATTATACCTTACTTCCTATAACCAACACAATGAAGAGGGAGTATGTTTTACAAAGAAATGTAAATAAATGAATCATTAAGGGAAACTTTTATTGTACTAACTGAAGTAACTTTTTATTTTGAAACATGTTAAAATTCCAAATAATTCATTGGAAAACAAAAGCAAATACTTAATCCCTTTCTTCTCCAGCTACCTCCAGAGGACCAGTATCTCTAAATTTTATATGAACTTCTCCAACCAAAATTGCCGGGCTTTGTTTTTCTTTATTTCCTTTACTTCTGACACACTTCTAAGTTCATAGCAGGTTGACTATTAATTTAAGAGACCAGTAGAAGATGTTGGTAAAAATATAAATAAGTTTACTCTTTCCTACAGCCATTAAAAGTGGCTTAGAAACTGTGTACAAATTAGCAGGGAAGAAAACTTTAGAAAAGTTTCTGGTGCCCTGTTCATAGCCAAAAATTAGGTTCACTGTCCAGTTTAAGCTTCAGTTAAATCTATTCCCTATTCATAAAACTCTGTACTCTGTAGAGTGCTGGAAATGATAGAAATCATTGTTCAACATATCGTGGTACCAAAAACTTTTGAAAGTAAAATATATGCCTTTCAGATGGATAGAGTCACAGATGTTTCCAATTATTTCCAGTTAATGATATATAATATGTTGGCCATTTGGCTCGCTAAGACTTGCCTAGGAATACCATTGGTGAAGAAATTTGCAAAAATTTTGACTGCCTTTATCCAAGTTGACTTGGGGTTGTGCTGGGAATGGCACATGGTGTTTCTCTAGACGTTGCTGAAGTGTGTGGTGCGTGCATATGAGAGTAAAGGGCCTTACTGCTCACGCTGGCTTTTTCTCCTATAATCTGGAAACACTTATCCACAGAGGTCTGATTTTCAAAGATTTGGGTTCCGATTTTCACGTAGCCTAGGACGTTGCTATTAATGTGGTAAATATTAAATCTAAGTTGTGAACTTGTACCATTTTAAAGGGATGAGTGGGAGAAATGGTGTGAGCTGATACCCAGCTACTGCTGCATTCAGAAGTGCAAAGGTTGCAATGCGGATATTCTCTATGACATTTATTTGAGTTGAAAAATTAAGACCGTTTTTTTGAGACAAAAAGCAAGTTTGATTTGGTTGAT